ATCTGAGCCACACAGGCACCCCAGAAATAAACATTTCTTAATGCCTGATTATCTAGACAGGGGTGGAAAGCATACAGCTCAGTGCTATACATACATACAGTATCTCTCAGATATTTAGCATTAGTCACAGTTCTGTCCCATTTTACCAGAACAAGTCTTCAGGACCTCTTAATCCAAGGTTTTGGGAAACTACTAATAATCATTTAGAATGGAAACATTACTTGAAACCAGTTTGGTATTCTCAGTCTTTGCTACATCTATTTTTATGACAACAAAGGAAAACAACCCCATAATACTATTTCTTGAGGTAATATAATAAAGCATACAATTGTAATTTCCATAGACAGGGAGACTGGGTCCATATCTATATCATCTATATCTTTGTGTATACTACACACAGATACACGGAAATGGAAAATCTATGTATATAAACATATATCTAATATATATGTAATATATACATAATATGATATACATATATCAAAATATCCTCTAAAAATATACATGCTTAGAATACTCTAGTGCAGAATCACTTCATAATGAAGTCACAGACACTGTACAACAAATAAGACGGGTGGAAATTAGTGTGGCAACAATCCAGGAGTTATCATTCCATTGGGATTATGTATTTTTTTCAATAATTTTCTCCTTCTCTTCCACCTCCCCTACTGCTTTCCCTACTCCAGCCCTTCCAAACACATGGAAAAACAGCCACTCATAGGGGAAAAACCCTATGAAATCATGCAAGCATGTAAAACAGATAGCAGGGCCACAGGCCCCATCAATTATGCTCTTCCTGTCTCTTAAATAAATCAACCTCACTTTCAGGTGAACTAACTTTTGTGAAAGAAATCCCTTGTACTCCACTATTCTTGACAACCAGAGCAAATAAAATTTAGAACATTACTAAGATAACAAAAGCTAACACTGCTTTCTGTAATCTCAGTTTTCTACTTTCATATAAATGTGCTTTTCATCTTAATTGTCTGGATTGACACAGCCAAAGACAAAGAATCAACCTCACAGGCCAGGGTCCTATCAGCCTTATTAGAAAATGGACTTCATTGTCTAGCACAAAAAAAAAGATTCGTTGAAGGGAAAGAACGGAACAAAAGTTCCCAACACAGTAAGATAAAGTCATATCCAAAAAAAAGTTATACCGTCTTATCATAAACAGAATGAGCCACCCAAGAAATAGGACAGAATCACAGAATACAGAAACACTTTACATGGAGGAGCTGATCGGAGACTAAGCACATTCCCTATTCATACAATGCCTCCTTCCCTGATTTATACACTAATTTTTAGCCTGGTTATTTCTATAACTTTTGAATTTTTTGTTTAAAAATTAAGTGGTCTACACTAAGTTTAAATAACTAAACTCTGATAAATTGTAGTCACTTAAATTATGTGACTTTATACATTTTAAGAGAACACTTTCCACTGATAATGCACACAAAAATTTCAGAGCTATAATATGATGAAATATTATGAAAGCATTTTATACCAGTAACTATAAATTCTTAACTATAAATTCTTGTTTTAACCTGAATTTTTTTTCACTTTAAACATTTATCCAAATTCCTTTTGATTCAAAAATTGAGTGCCTAAACATTGGTTATTAGAAAAAACTTTTTTTTTTTTAAGATTTTTTTGAGAGAGAAAGAGCGAGAGCACAAGCTGGAGTACAGACAAAGGGAAAGGGAGAAGCAAACTCCCCACTGAGTAGAGAGCCTGATGCAGGGCTCGATCCCAGGACCCCGACTACATGACCTGAGCTGAAATCACATGCTTAACCAAGTGAGCAACCCAGGCACCTCAAGGTTTTTAGAAATTTTAATATTCACTGTGTGGACATTCAGTGATAGAATTTCCTTATTTCATTTTTGTTTAAAGTTTAATAAATTGCAACCAATTCACACAAACTTATACAATGCAACACCAAAAAAAAAATCCAATTAATTTCACTGAATCATTAAATCTGAAAGTTATAAAACTTACAAAATCATCATGACATTTGATGGAGTTACTTGGAATAATACATGTTGAACCAATACAGAAGGTAAAAGCCCCAATGGGGAGGGAATAAATTCACAGTATACTTGCTAAGAATGTCAGATGTCGTACTAGCCAATATATGTAAAATAATATATTTACAGTTAGAAACATAATAATGAGGCAATTACTATTTTGTCATATAAAGATGAGGAAACTGGCACAGAGTAGTAAAGCCAATTTGCCCAAGTTCATACAGTTGTAAAGTGTTGGGATCTAGGCTGAAACGCAATGTCTGGTTCGAGAGCCTCAACTCTGAAACAATACCAAGAAAAGTACTGAGATATAATTATATTTATAGGCTGGAACATCAAGGCTGTCATAATAGGAAAGCGGTAAGGAGTGCTCACAGAATGACAGAAATACAGAAGAAGCTCCCTTCACAGATGTTAGGGCTTTGAAGAAGGCAATGGTGATCATATAAAACAGAGAGGTGAACAGTCATCACTGAATCAACGTATCAGTTAGTATTCTGTTTTGTACATGATAGGATTTAGGTTGTTTTTCTTTCAAAACTACTTTACATAAGCCAAGAACTAAGAGTTAACACTTGACCTAGTCAAAACTACTAACTGGTAACACCAGCCCTAAAGAAATATTCAGGGCACTAAGCCCATGAAAGTGATCTATGTTACTGTCTCTCACACACACACACACACACACACACACACGTACGTTACACTTTTCTAGTAATCAAAATGTAAAACAAAATTCACCCTATCTTCAGCAAGGCCTGAGTACATCTGTATTTACTCATTTGATGGTCCTTCCAACTGTGTTTTACATAATTATCAATAATAATGGATTTAAACAGCAGGGAAAATAAAAATCCTATTCAAGATCAATAGCATAGTAATGATGTAGGGAAGAGAACAGGGAGCATGTTGGTCCTCAAAGCTACTTACAAGGAACTTACTCTTCTTAGTAAACTTAGTAAAGCATAATGTAGATAATATATAGACACTGGTAACCCTAATGTTAACATTTCTGATATGTAAACTTAATTCCTTCAGGACAGTCTGCTAAAGCCATGCACTACTTTCAGTACTGAATTACAGTTTCTGCAGCTCACTGAAGCAATATGAATTTTAATTAATTATATAAGGGTGCAATGATGCTGCTCAAGTTTGAGGTTTTAAAAATTCACATTTAGATAAAAATGAAAAAAACAGAAAATGAAGATATTTTGCTTTGTTCTCCTCCCTTGAAATCCATTAAAACACTAAAAGGAATTACATAACACATAAATAGCCAATTGTACAAACATATTTCATAAAAGACATCAATAAAACCAATGAAGTACCTACGAATAAAATAAGAACTGTCTAAGACTTCTATGGCAAAAACTATGCATCTTTAATGCCAGGCAAGTGAACAAAACTGAATAAATGGTAAAATAAGCCCTGACTGTGGATGAGAAAATTCAAAATTATCTTTCATTTTCTTTCTTTGCTGTCTAGAAAGTTTCAAAGTAGGAGGTTAATAAATGCACAAAAATAACCAAAAAGTGTATTCCCTCATTATACCAAGTTATATGTACTTCATCTTTATCATTTCAATTTGATACAATATTGCAATAACCAATATTATAAAGAGGTATTCAATGCACCTGCTTTGTATTTCTTGGTCATAAGAAAAAGAAATGAAATCAGTTTGAGAATAAAGCCAGAAAAATGAAACTTTTATTAATTTACATAAGAAATTCTATTTTTACTAACTTTGAGTTTATGATGCATCTCAAGAGGAAAAATATGGAAACCTTGGGAATGACAAATAAACCTGAATTCTTAAATTCTACATGCGATTAGCAGGTACCAACCATACTACCACACATTCTAGACAAGCAACTTAAAAGGATAGCTATTCATAAATGAATCTATATTTCTCTTACTAATTAATAAATACCATGCTGTGAGTAACTGGTGATAATGTACTATTAAGAAAAATCAATAAATTTACACTGAGGGTCAAAGTAATTGGTGTTGTGGAATAGAAAATGATGTATTGTGCATTGATCCTTTAGCTATCTTTTAACTAAAAAGAAAAGAAAGCTAATTACTTTAGCAGGTATCTGAAAATGATAAGATTAAAACAAGCTAATTATATGTTCTTGAATAATGACTTACTTTGATGAAAGTAAATTGAGGAAAAGCATACTGTGATTTAGGCAAAGAAGTATTAGATTTTACTAATACTAATTACAACATAATCCTGATCCATTTAGCTGCCCTTAACCTATTTTCAAGAAGCTTAAATAGAAACAGCAAACATTATTAAACAACTATATAGCACATTCCCCCCATACTATGCAAGAAAAACTGAAGTGCCAAAGACATCTGTATATGTGAGACTGAAATGAAAACGTGACCAGGTAAAATGGCCAAAAAAAGTTCAATAAATTTTTCCTAATAGCAATAGTTTAAAAGTAATTTTATTGCATTAGTGTTCATTTACCTCAGACAATGTTGGAGAAATAAAACTGCACAGGCTGATCACGTCTTGAAGATCCACTTATGTAAATACCACTTCGGATTAAGTTTTACAGACACATCACCAAATCACTAATGTTTAGTTCTCACAACACATTTTAATTTGCATTTACTCTTGTATGAGTATTTTGGAATGAATACTGAAAACTACAGAATTCGACCCCATGTTTGTTTCTCAAAGCTTCGTTCTTTCATGTTTGTTTATCAAAGCTTTGTTCTTTCATTACTTGACTATCCATATTTTTTCTTCTATCAAAATTTAATACATGAAAAGAACAATTTAAATCTACCTCTAGTCCTCTCCTCTATAAGATTCAGTAATAACAATACCTAAACTTCAGGGTCAATAACTGAATGAGAGTCAATAGGAGTACTGCATCTGGTATATAGAGGGTACTTATAAAATTGTACTGGTTGATGTCATTAGTGGAATTATTACTTTTTAAAGTTACATACCTCCTCTGGTTCTTCAGAACAGTCAGCATCCCATCCAGAAGTGCAGTGACAATGGAAGACTGCCTGCCTCATTCACAGGCTCTCTGCTTCTCCCTGCATGGATCACAAGAACAGGGAATGGGCTAAAGGCGACACACAAAACTTCTCCTCCTATAGAGTTGGATAGAAAATGCATTATCAAATCAAGTGAAAGGAGGGGAAAAACAGTCTTTGTGAAATTTCCATAGCACAACAAAGGAATGTTGCTAAAAGAAATTGAATATATTTCTTGAAAAATTATTCATTGATTCCAATAGATAGGAACTCATAACCTCCCTTAAAGAAGAATAAAATTAGAGGAAATGGATGGAAAAAAAAAAAAAAAACAAAATCAAAACCTCAACAACAAAAGCCTCAGAGGGAAGTAAGTCACAAGGTCAGATAATGGGGCAACTAGGTGGCTCAGTCGGTTAAGCATCTGACTTTTTTCTTAAAGACTTTGTCAGAGAGACAGAAAGAAAGCATGAGTACACAAGCAGGGGGAGTGGCAGGCAGAGGAAGAAGCAGGCTCCCCCCTTTAGCAAGGAGACTGATGTGGAACTCGATCCCAGCACTCTGGAATCATGACCTGAGCCAAAGGCAGACGCTTAACCAACTGAGCCACCCAGGTGTCCCTAAGCATCTGACTCGATTTCAACCCAGGTCATGATCTTGGGTCATGGGATCGAGCCTGCGTCAGGCACTGTGCTCAGCAGGGAGTTTGCTTGGGATTCTCTCCTCCTCTTCTCCCTCTTACCATGCTCTTTCTCTCTAAAATAAATAAAATCTTAAAAAAAAAAAATACTGGGGGGGATGGGAGAGGATTAATCCTGTATAAAAGACGTATTTGTAATGCCAAACTTGATAGAGTAGAAAACCATTGATACACAGCTCACACTTGAGAAATACCAATAGAATTCAAATAATTCCTTGGTTAAAAAAAAAAACAGAAATATGAGAAAATAATAGATTTGGGTGACAAAAGTCAAGAGTCCATGCAAGTAGTATTTCTTATGAAAAATAAGAAAAAAGAATAAATGTAAACAGAACATTTCTGAGCTGAAAAGGTCCTAAGTGTTCAAAGGGCCCCCCAGTAACATTAGCAAAATTTATTAAAGTGATTCCCATTTAGAAACTACTAAGAAAGTATGGCATTCTAACAATACAGAAGAAATAGCTACGAAGGACCAGATGAAAACTATACCTAAAACAGAACAAATGCAAGCCAACTTTATTGATCTGTGAAAACTCAAATCTAAAAAAAACACCTCAGAACAAAAAGTTTAATGGTACAAGAACTCTATGTCTAAATGTCCTCAGATATTCTAAGATTCGTAGAACATGGTGACATGAACCTTACTGCTACCTCAGTTATTTTTTCCCCTCTTTGCAAGCAACCTTTGCCAGCTTTAAGTTTCTAGCAATTTTCTCAAGTTTTATGTGGTATCCTATTTAGATCATGAGTACTACCAGAGAATATATGTAACCAAATTAAAATATTCTTGGCTGAAACAGATCCTATTTATATAATGACTTATTGTATAGTAATCTAAGCTACGGAATTTGTAAAAGCTCATGCAATGGTTTAACTCTGTAGTTTGACAAGCTGAGTTGAACTTTGCTTTCTCCACAGTATATTTTAGGGGAATTAAATGATCTCCATTCCATATCTACTATATGTTGTGAATTTAAGGACAGTCCCTGGGAGAAGGTAATCTACGTATGTAAATTGTGAGTTTTTATCAGGAACCAAGAGTTCAACTTGCAGAAAGATAAAGTGAATCTCTTTGCAAAACAAGAGTTTATCACTAATGAGTGGAACCTGGGACATTGGAATTATTTCTCTCAAAAGATGAAATGAAGGTAGCTCCCACTTTTGTATAGGGAGTGCTCCTTTATTCATAACATTTAATTAATACTTATTGAGTACTCAAATTAGTGTTTGGAGATGCCAAGAAAGACATCTCTCGTTCTCTGGGATTTTATAGTCCAGTGGGATGACAATTCACAGATATTTAAAATGTTGTATGGAGAGTGACAACAGAGTTATTCACAGGTTATTATGGGAGCCAGTAGGGGTGGCATCCAAACCTTGAGTGCGAGCCCAAGGACCACAGATCATGGAAGCTGGCTTTCTTTGAGAACTCTATACTGTGAATTTTTATATGTTAAGGTATATAAACTGGGTCACATGATCAATTCAGAGCACACAGAAAAATTTATTACCTCAGATTTTACCTAGTCCACTAATTTATTCATTAATTGCCTCCTAAAAATACCACTTTAAGTATGAATGACATAAAAACTGTATATATTTAGTGTATACAACTTGGGAAGTTCAGAAATAAGGATGCATCCATAAAATCACCCATCTATGCCATAAACACATCTAACAGCTCCAGAAGTATTCTTTTGTCCTTTTATTATTTGCATCGGGTGGAAGTTGAATTTGGAGTAACTTACAGAATATATTTCTATATAATACAATGTTCTTATATACCTTTGGTACTACTTTTAAAAACACTCATCTGGAAGGGATGTATTTTAAGTATTTTAAGTACCTTTGGAATAAGACAGAATAAATAGTACTTTAGTAGTCAGGAGAGTTATATTCTACATGCTTAACCTTATTATTTTACAGCCAGACCTGAAATTTTGCAGCTATAGTAGAACAGTGCCTGAATAGGAACAGTTATGGGACTTGAGAACCAAAATTTTAAAAGAACAGCAATCCTAGACAAAGATAACTATATACAGACACAGATGGCAAACAATGAGCACTCCTTAAGACAACTTAAAATACTTCAAAATTTCATTTTCTTTCACAATAGTTTTGAAACACTCTTTTGCCAAAGTATTATGTGAAACAGGTTTATTCCTGACTATAGTATTTTTAAAAGGTCTTTTATCTGGCTTAGAAAAAAAAAATCATTTATCATCTTTTGTAACATCAGTATTCAAATACTTGAGAAAGGATCTCAGAACATAATAAACTTATAAAATTAAAGTCCCACCAAAATCTTCACTAGATTAGCAATGAGGTCTCGAAAATCAGCAGTAGAGCTTGTTAAAAATGTGGATTCCCCCCTTTCCCACTGATCCTTCTGATCCTCACTCAGCTAGACACTGTCATGGTTTTCCAGCATGTGCGTGAGAAATTCTGAGGTGGGACGCTCACAGCGCCTACCTTGAGAAATGATGCTCTGAAAAAAAGCAGCAACTCTTTGAGAGGGCTTTTATTTTTCACACTCTATACATCAGGCAGTGGGTCCAGAGAGGTAAGATTTATAACCAATTAAGTGTTGGAATCCAGAATTCTAAATAGGAGACCACATTACAGACCACATGTGCAAAATATTATTCAGCACAGTTTAGATTTGATATTAGGAGCTTATATTTTATATAGATTCTTCTGGGATCCAATACTTGTTTATATCTTTCAAGATGATTTACAAACTTTGTTTAGTATAGAATAACACTCAGTATTGTAGTTTGTGTCACTTGCTTTTAGCTTTATTTTCTCACTTTATGATTGATGGTATCTTACTTGTTGTCAGCATGGGCCAGCACATTGACACAAAATGAAAATATATATTTGATCATAACTGAGCTACTGACATCACTAGATTATGAATGTTTTAAAACTTATTGCCATTGGGGCGCCTGGGTGGCTCAGTCAGTTAAGCGACTGCCTTCGGCTCAGGTCATGATCCTGGAGTCCCGGGATCGAGTCCCGCATCGGGCTCCCTGTTCAGCAAGGGGTCTGCTTCTCCCTCTGCCCTCTTCCCTCTTCCCTCTCATGCTGTCTCTCATTCTCTCTCTCTCAAATAAATAAAATCTTTAAAAAAAAAAAAAAAAAAACTTATTGCCACAATACAACACAGGTGACTTTCTTCATCTGCTTTCATTCCTCCACTTCTGTAATAACAATCAGTTTTTCTGCAGGTGGAAATGCCTTTTAGTTTGCGTAATTCTGTACTGCAATATTGCACCATATTGAAATATATGAAACTTTTGTTTAAGATGAATAGGTGATAAAATGTTTTACAAGGCTTATTTTTTCCATTGGCACCATAATGCTTTGTTCCAAAAACAAATAACGAAAAACATCATCATTAACACTCAAAAAAGCACCATAAGGTTAACATGTTTGCTTTTACTGTGATATACTGTATATGATTTGACATCATAACAGTAAAAAGCAAATGAAAACCAAAATAGTGAAGAGTTTCCTCCATTCTCATTGAGAACCCAAACAAAACATAAACCTGCATAGCATCTTTGCTAAAATTGCTTACTTTGTTCTAATTTTCCAGAGAAAAAGACTAAGAGATGTAAGGATGAGTATGTAGACTTTCATTATGCTCCTTATGAATGTTCTTCCAGGTTTTTTTTCCCCCATAAAAACCGAGATTTGAAGTATTCATTCACATTTTCAGATCTACACTATAGAGTTCTACTTTTTGACATCATAATTATTAATTTTCAGAAATTTGAGCATTTGTTCCCATGGCAAAACAAAACAAAAAGCTGAATAGGAAGCTAACAATATATATTCATGGTATAATAGAGATAAGTCAGGTAACTAAACTTTTATTTTTATTTTTATTTTTTTTTAAAGATTTTACTTATTTATTTGACAGAGAGAGAGATACAGCGAGAGAGGAAACAAGCAAGGGGAGAGGGAGAGGGAGAAACAGGCTTCCCGCGGAGCAGAGAGCCTGATGCGGGGCTCAATCCCAGGACCCTGGGACCATGACCCGAGCCGAAGGCAGACGCTTAACGACTGAGCCACCCAGGCGCCCAGGTAACTAAACTTTTAGAAAGGAATCCGTGACTACACAATGGCTGCTGGAGTTTGGCACAATCACTCCTCTTACGGGACAGCTCCGAGGCTGTGGTCTTCCATGTTACCAGAGTTCCCACAGGATTCAACTCCAGTTCCCCCCAACATTAACTTGCTTGACAGCACACATTTTCTCACATATTCTGTCCCACCTTCCCACTCCCTAACAGTTTTTCCCAAACTTCATCTCAGGATCTGCTTCTAGAAAACCCAAAGTGAGGCAAAGGAG